AGTTTGGGTGAGGTTGGTAGAGAAATCAGTGGGTATGTTTCGGACATGTTAAGTTTGAGATGCCTCTTAGATTTTCAAGAGCTGCTGACTTAAGTAATTAGACATTGTGTTCAGGGAAGCGAGTGCACCATAGATATAAATTTGAGATTTGTCAAAATGCAAGTGCTATGTCCCTCCACGAGGCTAGATGTGAGTGTGAATGGATGGAGTAAGGCTGAGGATGAGCCAACATTTAGTGGAAGTGTTACAACATGTCTGTAGATTAATGGGAATGACTCGGTACAAAGGGAGCTATTGATGATGCAAGAGAGAGGGGGCAGAGTTACAGGTGCAAAGTCCTTGCAGGGGCTGGAACAGATGAAGCCAGTGGATGAGTGGAATGGTGAAATGGTGATGGTGGAATTCTGGAAGTCACAGGAGCACATCACCCCTAACATCATGGTCTTCACTTGGAGACCTTGGCTGTTTCAATCACTGTGTATTTGTTTATATTCCTTAGTTGACTGTAAGCCAGTGAGGGGAGAGACCCTTGTAATGTGTTCAGTATTACACTGCAATTCCTGATGCAATGTCTGGCCCGCGTTGCAAACTCAATAAATATTTACTGTATTACTGACATAAATAAACAAATGACCCTCCTTGTCCAATAGTAGTTGGTGAATAAATATCTGTTAACTTGTATTGAATATGAATATTAAAAACACAGGTGTATACAGCCAAAGAAGGAGGGAAAACTGACATTTTGGATATCTTCAATTTAATAATTAAGCCTAGCTTTTTCATTAACAGATGTTTGGGTGCTTTTCCAGACTGTTGAGACAAATTTAACTCAAATAAATTGAATAATAATTACTAACATTTGGGAGTACTTAGTTTACCTCAGGAATTCTTCGAGGCCTTTATTCTTATTACCTAACGTAATTTTTACATCAGGTCTATGAGATATCTATTACTAGTATCATCACACTTTAAAGATGATGAACTGAGCCACAGAGATGGTAAGTAATTTCCCTCAGTTTACACAGCAGAGGTCACCTGGTGGCCAGGTTGGAATTCAAACCCAGGCAGTTTCTCTCCAAGGGCCATCTACCTAGCCACTCCGGGACTTCCAACTCCCAGTTTAGTGCTCTTTCTTAACTACTCGAAAAATGAAGAATAAGATAATTATGAAAATTATAATTACACCAAAACACACCACCGATACAGTCAAAAGATGAGTGACAGATTGGGGGAGATGTTTATAATTCATACCAGAGACAAAGGACTAGTTTATAAAGTGGTCATAGAAATCCATAAGGGAAAGACAAGAAACTCAATAGGAAAAAGAGTAAAGAACATGGACATTCACAAAGGAAAACATACCCACATTCTTTAAACAGATAAAAAAATACGCAACGTTCTTATGGGAATCATTTCATTATGTATAAAAACATTGAATCATCATGATGTACACCTGAAACTAAGAGCATATTGTATATCAATTATACCTCAATTAAAAAATAATAAAAAGAGAGAGGGAAGTTAAAACTATTTGAAGATAGGGTTTTGTTTTGTTTTGTTTTACCTATGAGACTGGCAAATACCAAAAAGCTGACTGAAAGCTGTTGACAAGTCTGTGGTTCAGTAAGCATTCTCATACTCTGCTGGGGAACGTGCAAAGTGGTACCAAACTCCCGGAGCCACAGGGCCATTTTAGCAAAGAGACAAAGGTGATTTCCTTGTGATTCCTTTACATCACTTCTGGGAATTCGTCCTCAGGTATAATTATCCACTTGCAAACTGATATAGGACTAAAAATACCCATTGCAACGTTGTTGCAAAAGATTGGAAATAACTGAAGTGTTCATCAGTCAAAGATGAATTATCTGGACTGCATATCCACAAAATGGGAAATTAATCAGTTGTGAGGAGAATTGGGAAGTTCCTTCTAAATTGATACGACAAGGTTTCCAGGATATACTGTAAAGGAAAAAGCAAAGTACAAGACAGTATGTGAAAGAAAGGGGAAGGATAAGATTACATACGACTGTATGCTTTAATCTGCACTAAAACATTCTGGAAGGATGCACAGAAGACTGATGAAGGTGGCTGCCTAGGAGAATGGGTTAGGGCAGGAGGGGGTAAGATTCTAAGTACTTTATACGTAAGAACATAAATCTCATGAAAAGTTGTGGGTGGGAAATCAAGACTTCTCACAGTATACTTTGTTATATTTTTTGATCTTTGAACCCTGTAAATATGTTGTTTATTTACAGATTAAAAAGAAAATATAATGATAGCTGTGCCCATGGAGCCCTCAAAGCGGGACGGTCACTGTGCTGAGGACATGGCATGAATTATCAGGAATTTCCCATAACAAGTCACAGTTTTATTTCCACTTTGAGGTGAGGAACAGATTTAGAGAAATTAAGGACTTTGCCTCAGGTTGCAAAGCTAATAAACGATGGACCCTGGAATCAAACTCAGGCCACCTGCTTCCAGGACCTGTGTTAAGAGCTATGACTCTCCTAGCACACTGGTTTTAACATTCTATTCTACTTTGAGAAACCTAAGAGATACTGTCCCATTTATGATCTATTCTCATGGGCACTATTATGTTCACAAACAAAAGGATTATTGATTGATTCCTAATAATTCACTGGTAGCAATAGTTCACTGTCACTTGGCTTCAGGTGAAATGTGTGCAGCCGGATGATAACCCCTGAAGGCTGGCTGTAACTCAATTTCTTCCTTTCCTCCAAACTAGAAAGCATATCCAAGTAATAACAAGTTATTATTTTAAAGAATATTTTGTGTATACTGAGTTTTGTGCCAGGCACAGTTGCTTTAAGTACAATATATATATAATAATTTAACTGTCAAGGAGTCCCTTATTAGATAGGTGCTATTGTTGTCACTGTTAAGGGGTGAATTGTGTCCCCCCACCCCATTCCCCCATCCAGGAAGTTAAAGTTCGAACCCCTGTACCTCAGAATGTGACCTTATTTGGAAAGAAGGTCTTTACAGAGGAAATCAAGTTAAAGTGAATATATTACGGTGGGCCCTAATCCAGTATGATTGGTGTCCTTCTACAAAGAGAAAATTTAGAACCTGACAAACAGGCATAGAGGAAGGATGATTGACAATAGCTCTGTGGTGCCAGAGGCAGGCACTGAAATGAGGTAACTACAAGCCATGGATGCCAAAGATTGCCAGCTACCAGCAGAAGCAGAGAGGGATCATACCTAGGGTCTCAGAGGGAGCACAGCCCTGTGGACACCTTGATTTCAGACTTCCAGCCTCCAGAATTGTGAGGTAATAGATTTCTGTTGTCTGAAGCTGCCTGATTTCTGGTACTAGGAAAAGAATACAGCTGCCACCCTACAGATGAGGGAACCAAGGTACAGAAAGTTTGAGTAACGCGCTCAAACATACATGGTTTGTTCGTTAGTAATGACACCTGCAGCTGAGTTTGGGAAGCCTCACTCCAGAGGAGTGCTCCATTCTGATCAACTCTGTATTTAAAAAAAAAAAAATCATTTGTAAACTCCAGTGCTCTGGTCGAACTACGTGTCTCACTTCCTGATGGATCTGAACACTCTGTTTTGACCTCAACCGTCTGTCAAGGGGCAGAGCACGGAGTGTTCGAGCAGGGTAACCCTCATAAACTCCTAAGGGCCTTGGAAGTGAGGCACTCGAAGCCAAATCCGGCTCAGCAGTGCATCTGCTCCGAGCTGGGGGGCCGGCCAGGGGGCCTTTGTGGTCCTCCCTGAAACAGCTGAGTGCGGCCAGGACCCAGGGACGCAAACTTCAAAGTGGTTGCAGGCTTCCCTGCAGACTCTCCTTTTTGATCAGCGGGAGTCTCAATCCAGGAATGCGGGTTGTTTAAATTATTTTTTTTAACTTAAGAAAGGGTCAGGGTAAGTACCAGAAGGCTAAAGCAACTTTTGGTAACTGCCTTCCCAAATCCCTTTTGTCCCCGATGTCAGGTAAGTGAAAATGTTTTCCAAATGGAACACGGCTTTTCAGCTCACAGCACATGCCGAGTGGGGCTCAGGAGGCGCGAAGGCCCCCGAGGTAGCCGAGAGGCTGGTGAGGATGTGCTTGCCATGGCCATCAGTTTCTAAAACAGAATTTGGTTAAGCTAAGGGTCAGATGACCAAAGTGGAAATGGCTGCAGGTTGCAGTGATGTCAAGGCAGAGGGTGAGTGTTTGGGCAGATGTTGTCCCCCAACAATACTGTCAAAATCGGAAATAGTTCAATACTGTCCCTGGGTTTCATCATTCTGTACTGGATGGCGGATGTGTTCTCCAGCAATTCCGGGTGGAGCAGCGGTGTTCAGTAAGCAGATACTATCTTATGATTTATTTCCTGGCTCAGCTTGGCATGAGTTTCCTGTTCCCAATTAGGATCAGAACAAAAGGAGAGAAAGTCAGTCTTTGCTGGAAGCATGGCTGATGGGTCCGCAAGATGGTGATTCTTCTTGAAGGATAGAACTACAATCCTAAGCCTGAGGTCAAAATGTATGCCTCTGGACACAACCTGGGATGTCAAGGAGGAAAAGCAAGATGCCTAACCCTCACCTGACACGGGGGCAGAAAGGTGAGGTAGTCCGCCATGAAGGGTGGTAGACATTGAGGCAGAATGAGGGAGAGATTAATTTTCTTTCTTTTAAAGTTTTCAGATGTGAAATACTGATAAACTCAGGTTTATCTATCATACCCTGGTGAAAACCAGCTTTGTTTCATCATTCCGAGTATTGAAAGACTATCTTGGCCTTAACATTTGAATGGCTGTTTAAAAGAAATTGCTGGAAACGGCTACAGGTCTCCTTAGAAAACTCTCAAAAACACACCCCTGTACTTTTCCTCACCCTTTTTCAAAGGTTAAATCAGGGACTATCTATCTCAAGGTGGGTTGAAAAAAAATTTTTTTTTAACCTGCTTTCCTGCTAAGAAGTAGACCTTGAAAGATCAAAGCCGGAAGTGAAATTCCAGAGACAAACGGAAAAGCAACTCACCTAGGAGTAGGCCCGGCGGTCAGCAAACTTATTTTTAAAATGCATAGTGCAAAGGCAAACCTCTGGCTGGCAGACATCTGCTCTGACTAGGCGGCCCCCCGTGGAATGGCCACATGGGTCCTGCAAGGCATTTATCTGCAAAGGGCGGGACAACTGGGGGACAATTATTGCTTGTTTTCGGTTGGGGTTTCTGTCCAACTGGGTTTCCTGGGAGCCAAAGTCCAATCAAAGGGGAGTCGTGTCGTAATTCTTCGCCTACTGTTTTCTCATATTGACAAGCATATTCGAGCACCCAGCCCTGTGAGTGCTGAGTTGACTAAGATAAACGGGAGCATTAAAAAACAACAACAACAACAACAACAACAAACAACAAAAGAAAAAACAAAACAAATCTCCAGTGTTTCTCATCTGGGGAGACTCTGGGAGGAAGGATGAGAGAGTAAGCAATTTGGGGGAAAATGGGTCTGTGGATGATTCTCAGAGAGGCATAAATAGTAAAAGAAATCAGTCAAAGAACTGCGGTGACTGGAGCATGAGGCAGGGACCCATGCGGCCACCTGAGACCCAGCCCTGTGGGTCATTGCCACAGACGTGCCAGAGAAGTGCAAGGTGCGGTTAAGGTACAAAGCTGGCTTTCTTTAAGACTCGGCGGGTCATTCTGAAGAATCTAGGGAAACTCTCTACTGCGTGTACATTATCCCGCAGGAAGATATGACCTCCTTATCTCAGAAATGCACCTGTCAGAGAGATAGATTCTGAGATGAGGCAGTTTGCTCCAGCCCATGTTAAAGGACCCCCTCCCTTTCATATTTTCACTTTCTCAGGGACTTGTGGAAAGGGTAAGGTGTTTTCTAAGTGCTAGAGAATGTGGATGTCTCTGCTGCTCTTAAACACTGGTTAGACAGTAGAATAACCTTGGACCCGTGCAAAGCCACTGATGCCCGCCCTCTCACCACGCCCCCATACCTGATTCTACTATAACTGATCTGAGAGGGGACCCTGCATCCGTATCTTTTATAAGCTTGCTAGGTCATTCCAATGTGTGGCCAGGGTCGGGATTTAGAACGACCAGCTTGAGAAGCAGTATTTCATTACGTTTTTGGGAAAGAATTTTGGAACACAGGACTTAAGGGGCCTTCATCAGTACTTACTAATTACAATGAGGCAATTTGCACACATATGCAATCTGGTAAAGCAGAGGGTGGGGTTGGGGGATATCAGACAGCTAGTTTTTCCAGCACTGCCTTACCTTTCCACGAATGGTCCTACTAGAGTCAAAGTTATTCTCCACAGGCTTTCTTGTCTCCCTTTCCTTTTCATGGGGAGAGTTTGAGGTCTCTAGTGGGACTAATTTCATTGGTTCCTGACCTTGTTGTCAACCTGCAGACTGTGACTTGATAATTAGATGTAAATGGAGATTGAAAATCACCTCTGTACTCAGAGACTGAGTGAGCCACCCCACCCCCAAACCCCTGGTCTCCGGGGGTGGAAGAAGGGAAAAGGGGAATTTCTTACTGGTTGGTTGTTTGAATGCTGAATTGCTCTGTAGATGTTCTATTTACTTTATCCCCATGGTTCAGGCTAAATGTAATGTAGCCAAGGAACGGGAGCAACAGAATATAACAAAACTATATTAATTATGTATTATATGTTAGTGATATGTAAAATAAAATACCTCTTACATTTTTGTAGTGATTTTAACTCTTCTTTGCCCTTAACATCTGTTATGTATCTGACATGTTTTTATTTTATTTTATTTTATTTTATTTTATTTTATTTTTTTGACATGTTTTTAAATGAGGTTTATACTTCAGCTATATCTAGGGGAAGTGAAGCATGCTGAACCACAGAAGTGGAAAAATAACAATTTTATTTAATATGTAATGACTTTCAAAGAAAAGAAAGGACAAACATTTATCAAACTTTTCTAAGGGGTCAAGCTAATAGACATATAACTAACATACACACACATATAAAAATATAATTTTATCCTCAAAATAATCCATTTTACAGTTGAGGAAATGGAAGTGCACTGAGGTTACATAATTTGCCCAGCATCACCACCTGCAGTTGCTAAGAAATGGCGTTTGAACTTGGCGCGTCTGACTCCACGTCTCAGGCTCCTTCCACCACACATCAGTCCTGTCGTTGTTATTGTTTAATTATGTCACCTTAACATGAGACGATAACATTTCTCATTAAACCCTCTCAACTCCCTAAAAGGTAGGCTTCTGGTTTAGCTTTACAGATGAGGTGCAGAGGAATACAGCCAAGGCTATGTGGATAAAGCGGCCGAGGTGGGATTTGAACAAAACTCTGATGCCAGAGTTTTCCACCCTGCTGAGGGCTTTCACAGTTTTCTCCACACAGGAGGCTTCAAAAAATATATTTTTTAAAAATTTCCCTTTGGTTTCAGTTTGCTTGGGAACTTCGTGGCATACATTATATTTATTGTCCAATAATAATACTTTTGCTCCTTTTTAAGGCAGAGTCACGCACATGTGTACTTTAGAATGTACAACCATCGGGCAGAACACTTAATTTTTACTGCAGAATTGTAAATGTGTTGGGCATAATTCCATCTGGATCTCTTAAAGTGATGGAAGCAGTTTTTTGGAAGTTTATTAGTAGACATTTCATGGACTCCCTCAGGACTCAAGTAGGAGTTGCCACCTCAACCCGTATCTGTTTCTGACTAGATCCTGAAAGATCCATGGCTTTTACACTGCTACCCTGACACTGTAGTACTTTCACTTAAAACACATGCGCTTGCTGGAGAGAATTAGAATTGTCAAATATTAGGCCCTTGGTTTGGGGTGTGTCCTACTTGACGCTCTGTCCTCAACATCTCGGATGTGCCTACGGCCATGAGGCTTCAACAGATAGTGGGAGTTATGATTCATAGATGAATAAATCAATGTGGATGAGGAAAATGATGTCCAGGAAAGGGAGGTGACACTCCCAAGGTCATACAGTCGGGGTGGGGCAGCATCAGATTCCACCCTCTCCACTGTTGGTTCTACGCCACTTTCATTACAGAACTTTCAAACAGGCTCTTTTCTAAAGGAAGAGAACAGTTTCTCTGTGGAGTGGTTCTGGGGCTCTGTGTCAAGTTCAATAGGAGTGCTGTCAGTCTGGCATCTCTTTACAGTAATAAGAATTCCTGCGGCTCAGATCTGTTTACAGTCACATGGAACTACTTAGGGCTCCCTTGATTGCATACAGCACTTCATTTAAGGAAAGAATCAATATGATCCCTTTTCCTTTTGAAGCTGACAAGATCTGGCTATGCCACCTTCTACCCTTCTGTTTACCAACACTGCTGACTGTCTACATTCACCCAAGACTTTTGACGCTGTCCTCACTCTTTCTCCCCACTCTAAATCCAGCCTTTCCTTCAGTGATCTCAGTGTTCTCTGAAGTACCACCCTACCTCAGTCTTTCTTGATGCCAACAGTTCTATGAATATGTATCTTAATCCCATCGAGGCCACTGTCCTAAAGTCATTCTAACACCTGTAAAGGCTTCATCTTCGCAAAGGTCAATATCCTACTTCCAGTTACCTCATCCTCATACTCTCAATATCCCTTTTCTTTGCTTTATTGAACAACCAGATCCTTGATTTCTCCATTTTTGGGTTTCTCTTATTGCTCTTGCCTTTGTTAACCACACTTTTTTTGCAGTCTGTATCAACTTTCTTCCCTTACTACACGGTTATGCTCAACCTATTACAGTTTGTCCTTGGCCTTTACTACTCCATGGAAGAGCTCCTTATTGCTAAATTTGGTGAACACTTCTTGGCCCTGATCTTTGTCCCATAGGGGCATCTGACTTGACTGGCCATTCTTATGCTTTAAAATTCTCTGTTCCCTTGGTTTTTGTGATACAACATTTTCTGATCCTTTTTTTTTTTTTTTAAGATTTTATTTATTTCCTTGACAGAGAGAGAGATCACAAGTAGGCAGAGAGGCAGGCAAGAGAGGGGTGGGGGAAGCAGGCTCCCCGCTGAGCACAGAGCCTGATTCAGGGCTTGATCCCAGGACCCTGAGATCATGACCTGAGCTGAAGGCAGAGGCTTAACCCACTGAGCCACCCAGGAGCCCCACCATTTTCTGATCTTCTGCTTCTCTTTTGCCAGTTCCTCTCCCTTGTCCATTATACAATGCTGATATTCCTCAGGGGTCTGTCCTCCATCCTCTCTGCTTCTCAGTCTATCCCTTCTTTTCTTACCCACTCTAAAAATTAAGCCTTTTCTTCAGAACCAGAAGTCTCACCATCGAAGTTCCTTTACCAGGATCTTCTGCGTTCTTGTTTTAGAAGTATAGATATCTTGAAGTGATACTTTTTGAAAAATACAAACTTACGGTGTTACTTCCCAGCTTAACAATCCTCAAGTATTTTTAAGAAGTCTCAAGGTGGAGTTTGATTTGCCCATATAGTAATTTGAACTTGCTGTGTCTAAAATCATACACCTAATTCTTGCCTTATCCCTGTCAAGGAAGTTCTTCTTATATTCTTTATTTTCATGAATGAGTCACCAATAACCGTCTTTCTGGTTTCTATATCTGGAAGTCATCTTTCTTTTTATTGCTTTAGTATTTCTACAGTGTGCATAATGGTAAGCAGGTTCATTATGGGCACTTCATAGTTATTCCATAGTTATTTCAGAGTTACTGGATGACTGGTTGATTTCACTTGGTTCAGGTATGTTTGGTTTCTGGAACTTGGAGCTTTGACAAAAAGAAACTAGTATTTGAGGACAAACCTATATACAGTTTTATCATTTAACAACATGTAAACCCAACTCAATATAATAGGGGATGATGCTTTGCAAATCTTAAATTTTCTTTAATTTTCTCCTTTAAAATTGTTTTTTGACTCTGAGACCTCAAGGCTGAACTGTGAGGCTTATTGCCCAGGGAAGGAGATGGTGGAATAAAGCAGTGATTGGTCACCTGTGAATCTCAAAGTAGTGGGGATAGCATGGCTTGTGATGTAGATAATGCGGAAGACTGCCTCTCTTGTTGGAGCAGAGCAGTTGTGAGAGGGTGGGAGGGAGGGGGAGGGAAGCAGGCCTGGAGATGAGTGTTTGTAGTAGGCCACACTTTGGA